TTTCGTTTTGACTACGAAAAGGTAAACCTATGAGGCATCATTCCTGGAATAAAGAATCCAGTTTCAGCAAGTTAATTTCTGTAACTCGCATTGGCAGCGATTTCAACGGTCAGTAAACACAATCAGGATTTGCATTACTATCACTGGAACACAAAAACTTCTACGGTGGCCCGCACATTTCTTGTATTTGGCAAAAATCAAAATTGTTTATAGTGGTAGCCAAACGTTACACATGCGCCACGCAACCGCAACGCAGCAGATACTTCAGCGCAGCTGCTAACTGTAGAGCTTCATCTCTGCCTTTGCAATGACGCACACAGCTAAAGTTAGTAAAACTCAAACTCTTGGGCGAACTTAACGATGTTGCTGCGATTTTTTAATAATAGAAAATCAACTTCTCGTTTCAGGACCTATGTACGGTTTGCGAATGTTGGTATACGTTAATGCAGCGAACTATATGCCAACCACAGAAGCTACCGGTGTCCGTCTGACTATCCATGATAAGGAAGAATTTCCATTCCTGACACTTTTGGATATTCTTCTCCAACAGGATATGTTTCATCGTTTGGGCTGAGATTGGTCAGAATTTGAAGGGCTCAGAATTTTTGGTTGAATTGTAGAAAAATGTACCGCTGCATGTAATGTACCGAACATTTCGAAATCAAATGCACAAAAAACTCCGATTACGTAGTTGGTGAAATCCATCTAGCTTGGTTCTTGAATTTTTATACGACTTTGCATTCAGAGGCTGAGCAGTAACAAAGGCATCGCTCTTTTTTGCAAGCCTGACACCACTGTTCCAATTACATTTCGTTATCATGATAACTGCTCAGCTACCGTGCACGTGCTCATAATTCTCGAATATATTGAAGAGAATAATGGGAACAAAATTGTTGAACGTTGTTGCAAACATGTGGCGAAAGACCGTAAGTTCTACTCTATTCTCAACTGCGGAAGCACTCGGATTGCTTCGAAGGCGAGCAGAAGCGGGCGCGATGCTGCGCATGTGACTTGCGCGACGATTGCTCCGACGAGAAAAGGGACTATGCGATTAATACACAGACTGTAATTTCCTAGTCATTACTCTTGACAAAGTGCAATCTGGTAAATGGCGATTTTTGCAAATGAACAGTGATACGTATTCACGCAAAATGACACAAAAATTACATTGAGCAGCCAGCAACACCCTACATGATCAAGAAAAGTGACAATGAAAACCTGAAGTGCAAACACCAAGATGTCTATTAAAGTGAGTAATATGGTTGATTTACAGTTTCCGCTAAATCGAATGTTGGAACTCTATCAGCCTTCAAACAACGTATATGCCAAATATGTAATGTACACACTTTAAAAGGATTTCATCCAGGTGAAGGAACTTACTGGTATTGATAAACAGTTATTGGAGAAAATTAATTGGAAAAGATATTTGCATTTGTGAATGGGGTTAAAGTTTAATCGTTAACTGGTATATTGAAAACTGAAACTTTGGAGAAGCTTTAGCACAAATTTAGGATCGTCAACTTTATAGCATTACTCAGAGCTTTAAAAAATTGAGAACAGACATTTCAATATAAATTTCGATATTTGTTATTTGAGTTGAATACGCTTTTGGAACCCGGAACTCGTGGTTTCTCCTTCATTGACCACTGACTCAAAGAGAAACAACTTGTTCGAAATCATGGAGTTATATCAAAGAAATCTGAGTTCTTTAGGAAGTCCTAATTCGGTTCCGACTTCTCAACATGCATATTTGCAGATGAAGACAAATTTGTAGTTGCTTTGCCCTTTTGAGGCCGAAGTATGTAGACACAGAAATAAACAGCGAAAACTGACAAATTCTGTATTATTTATTCAATACAACCTAACAGAAATAATTGTAAGACCACAGGCTTCTCGAAATGATACAAATAAAGAGAGGAATCTGTAATGGTTTTGCCGGTATATACCTGCTTAGGAGCGCTGTGCTGGATTTCAAAGAACTCGAGATAGAGAACATAGCATGGAGTGAACTTGAAATAGTGCATATATGTACAAAATGTAAGGGAAAAAACAGAAGACAGAAAGATGAGTTGAAAATGCACCCGTAAAGCTTGAGACAAGCATTGTACCTTCGATTAATAGTCAAGAGATGGAGAAAGTAGGGAACAAGAAGGGTTTTCAAAAACCAAGATATTCTAAAAATACACTGTTGTACTTCAGATTATGTCTGCATGTCCTCGACCTTCGGCGGCTGATGCAGTCGACTGGCAATGTTTCGAGCATGAGTCACTGCAAATAAAATCATGAAGCAAAAGAATATAAAAAATTTGAATGTTTTTATTATACATGATTGTCAGCAAATTCTTCCAAGCTGCTTTCTAGGCCCTAACTCTTCTGACAATAAGTAGGTCTCCCAAAGTCATGAGATCTTACTTTTTAACAATATTGAAATGAGCGAATTTAATTCCTAGGTCCCTTGTCAGGTGTAAAAATGCCATCATAAAGCGCATGACTTCCTCTTATAGGAAAGTTGAAATTGTCAAATTTATTGAAAAAAAGGGAAAAAAATGCGAAAATGCGACGAACTTTCGGTCTAATCTAATACATTATGAGCACTGAAACAGATAACGAAGTCTTGATGTCATGGCATAGGATATCCTGGTACAATGTCAATTTGAGAAGCAGTAACAAAGCACGGATTCTCAGTGACGAAACAATGTTACAGATATCATTTCAACAAAACTTCTGAAAGGCTAATCTCGAACGCTTATTTACTTAACACCTTTGCTTGGTTGAGATCGAAGAGAGAATCACTTGTTTTAGATCAGAGATGTATGTATAAGCACAATCACAAGATATGACAAATAGGATGAGAAAAACACTCTTCAATCACCGTGGCTCTCCTTAGTTACTCCGTGCAAGTGAGACCCTAAGGAGTGGTAGGAAACTTGCAAAAACCTTCTCATTGCACAAGGCAATTCAAAGACTGAATATTCAAATTGATCAAGTAAAAAGCTTCGAGAAATATGCCAACTTCGCGCCACAACCAAACAGATTTTGCGCCTTCCCCCCCCCCCACCCCCAAACCAAACAAAACTATCTTATTCTCACATGATGTTACACATATATGCTCCTTACTGCAACCCACTCCCCCTTCCTCTTCTCCCCACAATCACCCCACCCTCTTATTCCACCTCCTCTTCTTCTGGAAATGCCGCAAGTGCTCATGGCTGCCCTACCGATCCGATTCTCAGCAAAACCAACAACTCCTAGCTCGAATATGCTCCACGGCAAGCGCGGAAATCCAAAAATGTGCCTTGAAATAGACAAAAAGCTCGGCAGCGAAAACTTGAGATGGCTTACAGAAAACAAAGCCATAATTTTTTTTTCTTCACGTAATTTTTTTTACACTTTCTACACCGGAACATCTGTTAGCAAGACCATATCAATCTATTGATATTCTAGGGAAAATACCTAAAATGCATAAGGAGATGTCATTTATCGTTTCAAGTCACAATAAAGTATTGATGCTAGATTGATGTCTGTTGAAAGACAAGCTTCCTCGTAAGAAGAGAGCCACAAAAATGTCGTAATGACGTTTCACTGTAAAGGATTGGCCGCAGCAGTAGCTTCAAGTGTAGTAATACTCGTACTCTTGCAAAGGTTTGAATTTCTCTAGGAAATTATCAGGAAGGTAGCGGAGAGAAATAAAACTGTGTTAAAGTGTTGATCAAAATTCAAAGGCAGTGGCTCGGCAGAACGAGACCCATGATAAAGCAAGGTCAGAAGGTAGGAGCTCCCATAATGGAACCTGGAACAAATACACGGTAATTTTCATTTTTCTACTTTTAACCAAGAGAATGCGTGAACGAGTAAGCATTTTCACAGAATTATCTTGAACGTAGTAGCAAATTTTCTCGGATTTTCCCTAATTCTGGCCCGTGGAATTTCTAGTTTTTAGCTTCATACTTTGCGAAAATTTGAGAGTTTTTAATGCAAACTTTCGAGCAATACCCTATTGAGCTAGCTTTGCTCTATTAAATTATAAATCAGAACATATTCAGGTTAAAAAGAAATATGAATTATTAGTATGTGATTTTGGTGCAAGGCTTATGTTCTATAAAAACAAGTTGAGAAAGCGCATGCAAGAAATCTTTTGGTAAAATAACGAATCTTTCCCGTTCCAATCATTTCCTGTTTCACCGCAAGTTTAACTGACGAACGCGGTTGAAACCCACGGTTTTTGATGCAGCGGAGAAAAAATGCAATTTTGGTACGTTACTGGCTTTAAAAATAGTGCATATTATTCTGGATACATAATGCGTGAACACTTCTAGGTTGGATATAGTCAGCACTTGTTTAGAATGCGCCAAATCATTGAATGCAAATCTTTGCGGACAAACTTAAAAGAAAGGCTGGGATTTGGTGACCGCTGGTTTTTTTATAATAGTTCACAAGTCATAAGTTTATCCTCCAACCTAAAAGAATTGTTCCATTTAAAATTAAGATCTGTAAATTTTGGGATAAAAACGAATGTAAGATATGGTGTACGGTCAAAAGCAAGATAAAACTAATCAAAAAGTGTGGAGAACCCCGCACACATGCTATGCAACATGTGAGATACTGTTTTTAGGTGTGTACTCTTAACTTCGGGAACAAAAGTTGCACACTTTGAGCGTAAGGCATTGCAAAATAATCAGTTTTGGATGCTGTGACTACACAAAGTATTAGTAATGCAAAAGCAATGATCCAGCTGAGTCAGGAACAAGAACACTTTGTTCAAGTTAAATTGAACCCTATCTTCAAAATATTGCTAATGCGTAAACAAGATCGTTGATTCTTGCCTTTTCGAATTTCGGATACCGCTCTCCTGCCAGCAATAACTTTATGCAATTTAAACCCTTATAAGGCTAGATTGGCTACCAGTGTGGACCTACTAAAAAGAACAGTAAGCTTTGGTAGACTAAGTATTATTCCTTGCACAAAAGTGTTAATTTAAGCTCACCGCCTTTGATGGCGCAATGGCTGGAGCCGGGATAAAGGCAGAATCACATACAATGAAATCGGCAGAGGCTCCACAGCCAAAAGCAAAAGGATCTGTTGGTTTGCATGGAGCGTTCTTCGAACCAGTGAGTTCCAAAATTTTCTAAAATGTTCACCAAAAGTCTCAGAAAACCTTGCTTTAGGGTTACGCAAGATGTTTATGTGGTAAAACATCGAGCGAAATGGAGATGGAAGAAACACCAGCAGAGAAATCAGGGTCAACATTTGGGACAAAGACACACAAAGACATTTGGGACCCATTTAGTCTGGGTTGGTTTGCGGACTAAAAACTCGAAAATATTGTTTACAATGTTTGTGTGGCAGAGTACGAAGAAGCTGAAGAAAATGATTACTATGTGGAATCAACCACCGATTTGAGCGTTATGGAAGAACGCAAATTTGAAAGGTACGTCACAACCCCAAAAGGAAAAATTTTAGTTTGCGATTATGATGATAATAAAGTGGGAAATCTTCAACTACTTCCCTCGAGTACGAAGATAAACTATATAGTTAAAAGCGAGAAGAAAATCGCTTTGGCGGACTTCGGAGAGCTCCGCCCACTTGAGCGACTCGGCCCACATGCCAATCAATATAAAACGATGGGCCGAAAAACTCGTGAACCTGCTTATTTGTAGTACAGCATGAGAAAAGAAGAGAGTGGCAAGAGATTACTTTGAAGTATGACTAGTCCGAACTTATGAAAAGTGCGAAGTTGATATAGGTAGCCAAAAGCGAGAAAAAATGTTCAAAAAGTTTGGAGAGCCACGCCCGCTAGAGCAACACCGCCCACACAATCAATGTATGAGAGCTGGCATGCCGCAGAAAAGCACGATAAAGTGCTGGTCTGCAGAATTTTTTCAAAACCAATGCGTAACTTGTCTGAATTTTCTGACAAAAAATTGCGTCACCGTATTATTTCGACTGTCACTGAAGAGAGGATTCAAGTTCTTAACGCGATAAAAAATCTTTAGGATATCTGGACACTACCCGATAGCTCATTGAACAGGTCTCTTTGAGTATTTCTAACCGAGAGAGATTCTATTGCAGGACAAAATTAGACGAGCCAACAGGTTATGACGATCATTGCATCTGTGCGTTCGATCGAGGTACCCATGATGCTTGGCCATGCTTTTCAAAGGACGCATGGGAATCTACAGAATGTGACACATGCAATGAGCACGCGTTTTGCGCGAAAGACAACAAAACCTGTATGTTCCCATTTTTAATTTCTACTTATTCTTTCCTTTTTTCTCTTCTTTCTTTTCTAACCCCTCCATTCGAGCTAGCCACTTGGGTATGGCAAGTGCAGATAGTCGAAGACATTATCCAGTGAATAAACAACGCATGGATGGCATGTATACAAAACGTTTGTGATTGTAAACTCTTCCTGTAGCGTAGAATAGAGTAGTTACCGTAGCGTACCGTAGCCGATTCGTAGAGATAGTATAGAGCACTGCACTTCTGTCAGCTTTTATCAGACATTCTTTTGATCAGCAAACTACCATGAAGACATTGAAAAATCTTCTACGCATGACTATCGCCACGTTTAAGCCCCTCTATTTCCGTGCCCCAAAGTGAAAACTCTTGAAAAAAAAGGTGTATCTGATAAACACGTTCTTCCAAACATAATTTTTTTGAGAAAAAAGAAAGCATTCTCATGTAGTTCTGCTGTAACGAATCTCTTGAATCGAAGTGCAATTAAGATTGACTTAGGGTGGTAAAACCAGATAATTAAATTCTGAAAAGTTGAAAATGGAAAATGTTGATCGGAGATAGCATGGCTTTGTACCCTCTAAGCATGTCTATCTTTCTATTCATTCTATGGTCTTACTCCTTGCTTCTATGTGTTTATGGCAGCAGATCAAGATATAAGTTGCCAAAGCCAGGAGAAGAAACTTGAATCATTACTATGCTGTAATCTGTATTTTCTTCTAAAAATTCGGTCGTTATTCCAAATTCCATTTTAGAGAAGATTTTCCGAAAGTAACAAAATCCAAAAAGGCAATCTTTAGCAAATAGTGGATTTCTCCTCTGGAACGAACAAGAAGCTTCTTAGTCATCATTCGTGGTAATAGCAATCATTGCCGAAGGCTACGCAAAACATAGTTACGATAGAAAAATGAGCTGACGCTGCTGAATGAGCTAATATTCTAGAAATTTCCAGCGCATAAGGTGTTCTCTGTGATAAATTTTGTATGATTTTCTAAAGCTGCCACTGTAGTGAAACAATCGTCGTGGATCGCTGAAAAACCGCTGCTAATTGTATATCCAGCGCGATATTCAATCCATTTCTATGGAAAAGTGCGAAATGCACATTTGTATTTAGCAAACTTATTAGGTAATGAAGTAGCATTTTGTAACCATGAGCAAATTTTGGTGGTGTGGAACCACTTCGGACTTCTAATTCATGATCCTACAGTAATGGTGGGCTAATCAAGATTTGCATTAGAAATTTACAACGGCACATACATAAGCATTAAGGGTTACGAATAATACGAATCAAACTAGCTAAATGTCAGTACGATGCAGAATTAATATGTTCCTAATGCTCCAGCGGCGTAGAAAATAAATTTGTAGGAAACATGCTACTTGATAGAGCGGAGCAAGCTCCACAGAGTCAATTTTACATAGTCTCAAAACCTCCATATTGTTCACAATTTCTCCTCATCAGATTCCTATATACAGTTGCTGTGTTTATTCTATAGTTAGAACTACTGGATCCTAGCTGAAAAATTACAATGTACATTACACTTTGCAGGAAGTTCGTGGAGTTTTAAGCCCGGATTAAGCAAAGTAACCAAACAAAAAAATGAATGTTTACCTTGACTTAAGTTTTCTTCATTCCGGTAAAGAACCTAATAAGCACTATCTAGATATACTCATGAGAGAAACATCTAAACTATAGTATACATTCTCAGCTTTGAAGAATGACTCGATAAATAGAAGTAAAATATCACAGAACAAAGAAATCTCAAATGCACTCTATAAGGCAAGAAGGTCCAGGTCCATAGTTACTGCGGTAACTTAAAAGAGACTTATATTTAGCTATATGTACTATATTCGTATCTATTAGCATAAGAGTTGCTCCTTTCATAATAAATATAAAGTCGGATATTATTGAATTTTCTAAGGCTTACGATTTATCTAGGCATTTTCACTACTTGAAAAACTCCGTAAATCTGGCTCGAAGAAAGACATATTTTATAAATTTTGTTCTTATATAAATTCTTGACCTCTCTTATGGTACCTATGATCTTAATCTTTCTAAGTCGAGTTACAAATAAAAATTTCATCGTGTGAATTGCAGTGATAAAAACAGCAGATTTGAACAAATTAATGAGAATCCTCCAAAACTCCTCCAATCCTGTTCTACACTAAAAACGCAGCACTTAGTAATCCACACTGCCCATAGTAGTTATAACTTCTAATTTCTCCGTACATTATAGCAAAAGGACATAAGTCCCCTGGTCTCTGTGCTCCATCAAGATTTTGTGTTGCCTATAATGGGAAAACTCCACCAATTGAAATATGGACATATTTAAAAGGTGGACCTCCTACAGAAGATCCGAACTTTCTTGAAGCTATGGGTTTTCAGGTGAGTACAATTTTTTGTTGATTAGGTGCCGTTTGAAGAAGCTTGAAATCACAAAATCAAATTTTGGCATAATTAGGCAAGATTTTATTGAAAAAATGTAACAGCTTCGATATTTCTAGGGAATGACCGACGAAGTGGCGATTGTCACAAAGGCAAAGGAGAACATAATGTTTGCCATGGCAACCCTCTCTATGGAGGATCGAGAAAAACTATCTACTACAAAGAGGGAACTCGTCCAAAAATGTTCCTTCAATGGAAAAGCTTGCGATATAGAGAAGTAAGTTCAAGATTAAAATTACGAGAACCAAGTGAATGGAGATGCTTTGCTGGTCTGGCAAAGTTACAAGAATTAAGTCCGAATAAATTCTACTGGGTTGGCAGGAAAGTTCTATCGCACCATTTTCAGAAATTCACTCTTGATTTAATAACCGATTAGCTTGTATTCATTTCTGTTCAAAATAGTCATGCTCTTTATATTAGGTTGGTCCGAAAGTTCTGTCCCACCATTTTCAAAAAATCGTAACTTCTTTCTATCACAATGTTTTTGCAAGAGTGAAACCGCATTTGAAACAGCAACTCATGCACTTTCTAAAACTACCTTGGCCTCTCTCTACTAAGCTCTGAAAGCAAAGATAAATTTGGGAAAACGAAATCACTTCGAGTTTGGAATTTTTAAGCAAGCCCGTTAAAAAATCTAGAACTGTGCCATAAAATCCAAAACAGCCAGTATTTTAGACTATTTTACCCCCACTTTCTGGCTGAGCAAAGTTCGCGCTGATCTAGCTGTTTTCCGAAAAGTTATGATTTTTTGAAAAAAATGTCAAAAAATCAATTTTCTTAAGAAACTGATTTTTTGGCATTTTTTCTTGAAAATCATAACTTCTTTCAAAAAGGCTTGATCAACGCGAATCTTGCTCAGCCAGAAAGAGGGGGTAAAATAGTCTAGGATACTGGCTGTTTTGGATTTTATGGCACAGTTCTAGATTTTTTAACGGGCTTGCTTAAAAATTCCAAACTCGAAGTGATTTCGTTTTTCCAATTTTATCTTTGCTTTCAGAGCTTAGTAGAGAGCAGCCAAGGTAGTTTTAGAAAGTGCACGAACTGCTGTTTTCAATGTGGTTTTACTCTTGCAAAAACATTGTATTAGGAAGAAGTTACGATTTTTTGAAAATGGTGGGACAGAACTTTCGGACCAACCTAATAAAAGAGTTTATAGGTTTATCAATGAGCATACATTGCAGTGATAGAAGGGGTGGAATAATTTGCTCGAATTATGAATTTTCCGATGGTAAGATCAAAACTTTACAGCCAAAATTGGAATCGGTATCATAGGTTTTATTTCTCCTTTCTAACTAGACAAAGGCTGTGCTGATTGAACATCTCTGTGGGAAGTTAGGATTTTCAAAAAATGTCAATAAATCAGATCTGCTGAATTGTATTGCTTGTAAATCATAACTTTTCATAGAGATGTTCAATCAGCACAAACTTAGGGCAAATAATAAAACCCATAGTACCGACTCCTCCGATTTTTGTTGCAACTTTCAGATTTTTCACGACCACGCCATGAAAATCGAAATTGGAGTAACTTTCTTCTATCGTTTCTGTCTATGCAGGGCATGCTCATTAGGTAGCCGGTTAGAACAAACTGGCGAAGAGCATGACTTATTTTTTAAATAAAATTAAAAGCAAGCAATTTGGTTGGGAAAATAGGAAGTTGTGAATTTTTGAAATGGTACGACAAAACTTTTGCGTCAACCTAATATTCCTATCAGCTATGTAAAATTACTATTTTGGTAAATCAACTTAGCTCCAAAGAATGCTCCGCAAAATACTAAAAACACGACTATATTCTTTTGATGGAGTTATATGTATGGTTAGACCGGTTTTTTACAAAATTCTGTCAGTCGATGTTTGTAAAATTGACAGGATCTTCCCAAAAATTCCCGTTATAATCTGGGTATATAGCTCCTTCGAAAAAGTAAACGTCGATGCGTCTTGGGAAATGCCAGGGAAAAACTATATCAACCAGAAAAACCAAATTGAGCCAAAATCAAAGTAATAAATTGATTCATAATCAGTGCAAGTATTTATTTCGTAGCTCTTCCTCAAAAGACTGGTTTTCAAAGCGGAACCAGGGCTTGGCAAGGTGGCATCGGGTCAAACTGGATGTCGCTTTTGTGGCCGAAAAGACACAATCTATTTAAGTTATTTTAGTCGACGTTTCATTTTTTAGAGTTTTTTTTTACGTTAAGGGTATAGGGTCAAAGGGGACGTCGTACTAAATTTTCAAGATCAAAGGGGACTTTGTTTTGGAATTTCTCTGGTCCCAGCTCGTGCCGAGCCCTGAGCGGTACCAATTATCCCCATTTTTTCTAGTTTCTTATGAAGGTCTAATTTTCTATATCTTCGTTCTTTCAAAGGTTTTGAGCCTTCAAAGACAAAAGAATGGTTTTCCTTTTGCTCTGTTTGCCCTTAATCCACGGATAATCATCGAATTTATTTCATAAAGTGTGCATAACGATTCCGAAATCTTGTGATACAGAATACTTTCTTAAATCAAAATTTTGGTGGTGATCGTTGAAAGCCTTTTGTGCCTTGTAAAATTCGTAAGCAAAAAGCGATTGCAAGCACTATACAGCAAGGTTAAACCTTGTACATCTAGTGCTATAAAAACAGGGTTTTCTTCTTTTCAATGCAGAAAAATTGTGAAATTTCAAAAAAGCCAATTTTTTGAACCCGCCGAGATGCCCAAAAAGGTGAATACTTTCGAACTTTCTGCAATATTTCAGCTCGAAAAAAATTTCGTAAAATCTGAGTTGGCAATATACTGCATAAGCATTGGCTACACAACGAGCAGTACATGCATCATCCTACTACATTTCAGAAAAAGTTATGGCATCTTAAAATTGAGGTTCACAAGAAAATTTATTGGCAGTTTTTATGCTAGAAAATCTTTCCTGTTATCTTTACAGTCCTACAAAAAAGAGTTATAGTCAATGGTTTTCTCTTCACGGTAGTCCTTACTGCGCTTAGAAAAATCCTTTCGAAAAAGATGCTTGTTCTCCTAGGTACTTACACTGACAGTTTGCGGTAACAGGACTGGCTATCCTTCAGACATACTAGCAAAGAGTTACGGATTTGTCAAACATAAGATGCCAGAGGAAATAATGTTTTCATGTTTGAAACCATGCTTTTCTGCACGTTCTTGTGATATTGACGCCAGCCTATGTGCGTTAAGTTGCAAATTCTTCATTGCATTTACAAAAGTGAAATTTTGACAAAATAGCTCATCAAAACAAAATTTTGAAAAACACACTCATTTCTGCATCAGCATAATGCATACGAGAAAGTTAGATATTTGAGGAGTAGAATTTGATTTGTGTTACAGGGATTTTCTTACGTATATCGATCCAGTCTTTGCTGCTTGTTTTACAGTTAATCACAACCGCACTGTAAATCTGACTAGCATTCGTGCAGGTAAGAAGAATACTTTTGAAAAATATCAGCTTTTTCATGGAGAAATACGAATGTTGATCTGTTGTTGATATGTCGAATGTTGATATGCTAATATTAAAATATCGAATGTTGATATGCTAATATTAAAATTAGCATTTGTTTTGATCAGCTCAGAGCTAAAGGCTTCATAATTACACGAACACCCTAAATGAAGCTCTTTCCATCACTCAAAACTGCGATCTTACGACTCAATTTCTTGTAAAGTTACATTAAAAGAATCTGAGATGTCTGTCACACAATGAACCCGGCGCATCTCAAAAAGAGGAGCGTAATTCTTCTCAAATGGCTCAAAATGCTTTTGTGTTTCTGTTTTCTTGTTGTTCAAGCCCTCTAATTAGCTTCTACCAAAGCTTAAATCAAGCTTTTTTAGTAGATATTTTGTTCAATGCTTAGACAATCCTCGTGTACTCGTCGCGTTTCCAGCCACGTTTCCCTTGACTCAAAGTTAGCACGACTTCGAGCCTCAGAACTCAGCTTCTGTAGTTCTACGAAGCCAAGCACGAAGTATGTACAAGATCTTAGATTTTATGTTTAGCTAAAAAGTTCTGCAACGCTTAGGGTTAGTTTTGTCCACGCAGACGTCATCTTACAAAAATGGCTGTGTTTACTAGTGCAATCACACTTTTCTTGGATGTTTAGCTCCAAAGCCCCAAGATTAGTCCTCCAGAAAATCCAAATATTTCAGCACTAATACATCAATACACAAGCTGCTCACTTGTCCCATCGCAATTCTTTGCGCGGGCAATAACTGAGTTTTAAGGTTCGCATTGTGTTAACTTTGAGGTATGGTTAGAATCTGGTTGAAAAAAGCAACGAGGTACTCAGAAGTTTTCCAAGCGTCGAACAAAATAAATATCAAAAATGCTCAGTTTATCTCAAAGCATTGGTGGAAGTTAACTAGAGTGCTTAAACAATAGAAGAAGAGACGTTTTTAAGGCGCACTGCCTCTACTCAAAAAGCTCAATCAAAAAGCACATTCTCTGGAAAAGCTTTACCAAAGGTGTGTAGCGGGGAATTTTTTCAAACTCTGTTTGACTGCTTTGGCGCGAAAAGTGACAGAAATTAATTGCGCGGCTTGATAATTATAAATCGGTAGACACTTTATTGGAATTTTTTCAAATTCAAAATGATTCAGCTTCTATCGCTTCACTTCGAAAATCATTAGAACAAAATCTTCAGAATGAAAGGACAGATTCCGCGTCGAATTTTTGATGTTACTGCTTATTTATTCACAGAAAATCACCGGAAGAAAGCTCAAGCATGGCAAAAAAACTAATTTCTAAACGCAGTCGAAAATGATGTTTTTAGAATACAAAATATAGTTGCACCGTTTCATTTTAGGAAAGGTAAAGGATGCGTAATTCTCAAAATGAACAAATTGGAGACGAATTGATATCGGCTCTAATATTGATTTATTAATCCTATTCGTTATAACAGAGATGCACCAAGAAAAATCATCAAACTAGATTGTAAACACTGGTTCCTGGTCAGTGAAATAGAAGGCTAAAACACTGACTAATAAACTGACACAGATATCGTTCATTCAGATTTTCTGTTCTTTCTGAGAGTCCCAGTTCCTTCTGACTTTTGTGACTTTTGTGATGCTATTACCAAGGCTATTTGAGCAATCAACAGTAACGCTAAATTTTCCTAAAAACTAAAAAAATTTATTTTCAAAAGTGGTTGTAGCTGTTATGTAGAGTGAATCTTTATTATAGCAGCTATACCATTCTCATTCTAGATTATATGGACCAAATTTTTGAAG